AAAATAATAATGATTTTCTTCGGGACCCAGTGGTCTTAGAGTTACCTCTATGGTATTACCAACAATCAATACGAAACTAACGATTTTAAATTGGCTCACTACTTGACTAGCCTATTGGTCGCAAGCAAATCCAGTAACGCACCCCATTCTTGTCGAAATTCTAGTACTAGACTATGTTTGTTTTGATTCGCTATGAAAGTTTGACAGATAAAATGAGGGGCTCGTGGATTTTCCTATGTTTTGAGGGGTGCATCGATTAGCTTGGGACCGAAAAGAGTACCAGAGCTGAGCCAAAAAGTTGAGCTCGTTTCTTCGGGACCTTCTGGTCTTAGAGTTACCTCTATGGTATTACCATAGAGGTAACTCTAAGACTAGAAGTTCCCGAAATAACGTGCTCAACTTTTTGGCTCACCTCTGGTACCCTCTTCGGTCCCAAGCTAATCGATTCACCCCTCAAAACATAGGAAAAACCAATAACCCCTAATTTTATCTGTCAAACTTTCATAGCGAATCAAAACAAACATTGCGTAGTACTAGAATTTCGACTAGAACGGGATACGTTAATCGTTTGTTTGGGACCAATAGGCTAGTCAAGTAGTGAGCCAATTTAAAATCGTTAGTTTCGTATTGATTGTTGGTATTACCCGAGGGGGACGACTCTATCTACGATGCAGGAAAAATAATGTTTTGCTGTGGTTAGCTGCGCACACGCTGAAAAGATAAAAAGAAGATTGATGGCGATTCTGAAGATTTCCTGCAAAAAGATGTTGCACGATGCAAGTAGATGCGAGAAATTAAAAAAAATTATTTCGAAGATTGATTCGCTAGTGTGAGATTTTTCGAGTATCTAGAATTGAGATTTAGATGTGTCACCCCCCTCGGTATTACCATAGAGGTAACTCTAAGACTAGTAGGTCCCGAAGAAACGTGCTCAACTTTTTGGCTCAGCTCTGGTACTATCTTCGGTCCCAAGCTAGTCGATTCACCCCTCGAAACATAGGAAAATCCAATAACCCCTCATTTTATCTGTCAAAATTTCAAAGCGAATCAAAACAAACATTGTGTAGTACTAGAATGGGGTACGTTAATCGATTTGCTTGGGACCAATAGGCTAGTCAAGTAGTGAGCCAATTTAAAATCGTTAGTTTCGTATTGATTGTTGGTATTACCATAGAGGTAACTCTGAGACCAGAAGGTACCGAAGAAACGTGCTCAACTTTTTGGCTCAGCTCTGGTACTCTCTTCGGTCCCAAGCTAATCGATGTACCCCTTGAAACATTGGAAAATCCACGAACCCCTCATGTTATCTGTCAAACTTTCATAGCTAATCAAAACTTACATAGTGTAGTACTAGAATTTCGACTAGAATAGGGTAAGTTAATCTATTTGCTTGGGACCAATAGGCTAGTCAAGAAGTGAGCCAATTTAAAATCGTTAGTTTCCACTGGTTGGTATTACCAACCGGTGGAAACTAACTATTTTAAATTGGCACACACTGGACTAACCGATCGGTCCCAAGTACATCGATTAACGTACTCCATTCTAGCCGAAATTCTAGTACTATACTACACGGTGTTTCGGGAAAACCCATTAATGGGTTAAAAAATACCCATTTTCAAACCATGTATGCAGCTGTCAAGAAATGGGGGAATTTGGAAATCATAAAATTTGTGAAAAAATACCCATTTAACCCATCGAAATAAATAAATAAATTAATTTTAGAAACAAAACTGTATTTGAATATGTATTAGTCTACGTTGGTTGACGAAATAAATAAATAAATAAATAAATAAAAGAATAAGTTCACGATTGCATAATGGGTATATTTTTACCCAATAATGGGTGAAAAAACACTTGGAGATTTTATCGTCTCATTCCGTCACCGACTCATCGGGAATGCAAACAGTTACTGTCCGCAGCTTCTTTTTTTTTTAGCAAAAATGGAAGATCTTCGGAGAAGGTTAGATTCCGAAACATTGGAGAAGCTTACGGATAAGTCTATACAGTTTTATCAACAATCAATACGAAACTAACGATTTTAAATTGGCTCACCACTTTAGTAGCCTATTGGTCCCAAGCAAACGATTAACGTACCCTATTCTAGTTGAAATTCTATTACTACACTATGTTTGTTTTGATTCGCTATGAAAGTTTGACAGATAATATCAGGGGTGTGTGGTTTCATGCAGAACATGCAGGGGTGAGTTTAATAGCTTGGGACTGCTTGGGACCGTTGTTCTGGTACTGAGTGAGCCAAAAATAATAATGATTTTCTTCGGGACCCAGTGGTCTTAGAGTTACCTCTATGGAGTTACCTCTATGGTTTTATCCAATATGGTATTATAATATGTCTTGTAATAATCTTTTTTCGGAGTGTTTTTATGTTACTTCATACGCGAGGTTTACGATTTTCAGAGTTGGTTGGAAATGCTATCTAACATGAAGCTTTAGTGTGATAATTTATTAGCTAGAGAATGATCTTAAAAAGAGGGTAGGTGGATAGTTCCGTTATAGCATAGAGGTAACTCTAAGACCACTGGGTCCCGAAGAAAATCATTATTATTTTTGGCTCACTCAGTACCAGAACAACGGTCCCAAGCAGTCCCAAGCTATTTCACTCACCCCTGCATGTTCTGCATGAATCCACACACCCCTGATGTTATCTGTCAAACTTTCATAGTGAATCAAAACAAACATAGTGTAGTAATAAAATTTCAACTAGAATAGGGTACGTTAATCGTTTGCTTGGGACCAATAGGCTACTAAAGTGGTAAGCCAATTTAAAATCGTTAGTTTCGTATTGATTGTTGGTTATAGTACGTTCAGACTACAGAGTTATAACATGTTATAGCGCTATCTTGATGGTAGTTTCTGTGTTGCAATTATTTGACAACCGTTATAACATGTTATAACTCTCCTGTCTGGACAGCGTTTTATCAACAATCAATACGAAACTAACGATTTTAAATTGGCTCACTACTTGACTAGCCTATTGGTCCCAAGCAAACGATTAACGTACCCCATTCTAGTCGAAAATCTAGTAAAACGCAATGTTTGTTTTGATTCGCTATGAAAGTTTGACAGATAAAATGAGGGGTTATTGGTTTTTCCTAAGTTTCGAGGGGTGAATCGATTAGCTTGGGACCGAAGAGAGTACCAGAGCTGAGCCAAAAAGTTGAGCACGTTATTTCGGGACCTTCTACACGGACAGAAAATTGTTTGCATTGAACCAAAAAAAAACTTTAGTTGTATTTACACAAACAATTCCGGTTGAAATTATATTGCATTTTGTTGTTTCAATAATGCTTAGTGGTATAAATTAAAATAGGATTATTTTTGTTTTAATAAGCCACTTTTCAACTGCAACTATTGTAAAAATAACAATATTCTATTATTAAGCCAGCAATAGTTAATTTTAATTTAGCATTTATTTGCTGTGTGTAACCAGTGGTGTGTCTGTCTGTCTGAGATTAGTGAGATTGTCGCGATTAGTGTTTCGTATTTTATGTATAACAATATGCCAAGGAAAGGTTTGAATACAAGCTACCAACACCACCCATCGCCCACAAAATTACCCACTGGACAGTACACAGCCACACCACTAAACGACAGGAAGATCCGCTACCTACCACCAGATGGCACTGTTTACTGGATTTGGAGGCCATTAGGAGGTGGCATAATGGGGCCATGATGAGGCGAAATAGGGCGGAAGGACGATGGCTCAGCGAGGAGGAGAGAGGATAGGTCAGCCGCCATCGTCGAGAATTATTTGATTGGCGATACTCAACAGCGATACTTCGTAAAGCTAGTTCAAACAAGTTCGAAAACCAGTAAAAAACCGTGAGGACGTGAAAAAAAAGTGAAGAAGGAGAGTGAGGTGCAGAACCATCCAGGACCCCGTAGTTTACCGCTGGCAATTCATCCACGGCGTGGTCAGACCCCGTAGTGTCCGTCATTCGGCATACGGCGCGGTTAGACACGGAGCATCTTCCGATACGAAGGTATCCGGGAAGTATCCGGGAATACTAACCAACGGCCCATCGCCACGCCACGAGTATAGTGAGGAGAGAGAGAGAGATCGAAGAGCCGTCGCGGAAAGTACCGAAGTACGCGACCGGCTTGCGAACCAAGTCGAGGAAAGGAACCGACTGGCCTGTGAAAAGTACCCAGAAGGAAGCTGAGGAAGGTGAAGGAGTGGCTGTGGAAGGACCAACAGCGGGCCCGCGCTGAAGAATTAGAAGAAACGTCAGGCGTAACGAGGTAGGAGATAGCGAATAAGAAAGTGGGACGAAATTGGGAACAATAAAGGTGCCTATAGCTAAACAAGTGTTGTGTGTGTTAGATATTCGAGTGTTTCCTTGGCCGTGATATTCGAGCGCGCATGCCGACCCTGAGGTAGTGTAGAGGGGGGTCTCATTAGTGCTGGGCAGGGAGTACCCCACATGTTACACTTGGCGCCCAACTGAAAATTTGCGTAGAATATCAGTGCTCGGGTACACTTGAATACCATTTGCGTGTCTTTGCAGAAGTCTCTGGGAAAACATCCAGACTTCGCGAATAAACTGAACCACAAAACACACAAAATAGGTAACCTGGTTGATGAATAAAAATTCAACAGAATTTGTTCATTAAGAGGGGTCTTGGATGTCAGTCAATGGTCTGAATAGCTACCAACATAAAGAAAAACTTACTAAAACAATATAAGTTGAATAGTTGGAGTTTTCGCGGCAAATTCCGGAATTATATCAGTGTTGTGTGAATTTCGACTGTTGAATAAAACACCAAAGAAAAACAAAACGTTTATTGAAAAAAAACAGGCTAAAACTAGGTTTTTTTTTTTAAATTATTTGCTTCAGTAGGGAGCGTGAACAAATTTTAGGATTTCAAATTTTTAATAATCTGCTTTCAAGCAACAAAAGTGTGCAACAATTGGATTTTTCAATTAATTTTGAGTGGGAGCTCCACTTGAGCAATATTTTAGGTTCTTTTCAATTTTTATTCTACGATTTTCCTGTGTTGTTGAATGAACATGGCGGAGACTAGCATGTCTCTTTTGTCGGCACAGTACCATGCGTTGAATCCTGGCCATCTGACGATAGATGAGCTGCAACACGAGCTAAGGATCCGTGGTCTCGCAATTGTATCTTCACGGAGCGCATCAGAGAGAACACTGAGAAGTCATCTGAAAGAGGAAAAAGAGAAAGTAGGTGTTATGATTTCGTCGGTTTGTGAATCGGTAGTAGACGAGCTAGAGGTTTGTGATGATAAGCTGAATGGAATAAAAAACCATTTGGAAAAGCGACGATCGAAGAAAGCCCCAGACCAGCTGTACAAAAGCAGACTGATTCATATTCTCTTTCGAATGCAGCGGTTGAGAGTCAACGTCAAAGAAGAAGATGAATTGAACAGTCTAGCTGTGATAGCCGGAGAGTGTGTGAAATTGCTCAATGTGTACTTTTCAGCAACCTCCCATCTTCCAGAAGTGAGAGAGGCTGAGTTGGCGGTCATCAATGAAAGTTTGATCCAGCTTCGTAATGAGGGAGAGAACATGAACGCTGATCAGGAGCAAGAGGAAAACGAGAATGAAAATCCAGTCCAGAGTTCCGCTGAGGAGAGCATAACTGAGCTTAGAGAGGAGAGTGTTGTAGTAGAGTCTGTTGGTGGTAGTGAGTCTGAGAAGGTGGATAGTGAGAGAAATAAATTGGCGAATGAGATCAAGCAACTGACGTCAGTTGTGAGTCTATTGCTCCAACGGATCACAGTGCTGGAATCAAAACAATCCGTAAGTCAGTCACAGGATGCCCCACTTCAAACCAACAACAGCACTCGAATTGAGGAAAGAGTACGACAGGAGAAAAGGGTAGAAAAGGCTCATCCAAAACCAGTAAATTTTCTGGAGTGGATTAAACAGAAGAATGATTCGTTGGAAACACTGAAAAGCGCAGAGGAGAGGAAAACGGTAGCAAATAAAGTAAATGAAATGAATGACAGGGAAAGAGAGAGGAATCGATCAATACATAGTAGGTTTCCAATTCACAAATGGACAGTTCGATATGATGGGATGGATAATGGGAGAAGGTTGAATGAATTTCTTAAGGAGGTGGAATTTAACGCTAAGTCAGAAGGGTTTTCGGACACTGAGCTGTTTCAGGGAGCTCATCATCTGTTTACACAGAAGGCGAGATCCTGGTATATGGAAGTTAGTAGGGAACTAGGATCGTGGAATGAGCTGGTAGATGAGTTGAAAAAGGAGTTTTTACCTGTCGACATCGACTACGTCTACGAACGGCAAGCTAACAACCGGAAGCAAGGTGTCAGGGAGAAGTTCCAGGACTTTTACTTGGACATGGTCCGGATCTTTCGCGGCATGTCAAATCCGTGGGATGAGAAGAGGAAGTTCGATGTTCTGTTTCGCAATACTCGAGATGATTTCCGTATTGCATTGCTGGCTGCGAACGTTGATTCGATACCTAGAATGAAGGATTTCGGTAAGCGGTTCGATTCAATCAACTGGCACATGTATCAGAGGAAGGATGTTAGGTTTGCGAGAAAAGAGGTTGTACAAATCGATGAAATTAGACAACAGCAAACGTTCCAAGACAATCGTGGCAGGTATCAGGACAGAAACCAGAATAGGGGAGATTCAAATCGCCAGTTTAGACCAGGTGATAACCAACAGCTTCAGAAGCGTCCATGGAAACAGCAACAAAATGTCTACCAAAGCCACCAAAAGCAGATCAATTCCATCAAACCAAATCCGAAGCCGGACACTAGACAAAGAACCAGCAGTCCTGTTCCAGGTCCTAGTGGAACTAATGCCCTTCAGAGAATCGTCAATGCGTACATTCCATTGAGAAAGAATGTATGCTACAATTGCCATGAAGGAGGTCACGATTTCGAGGATTGTACCAAGGAACGGAAGATGTTCTGTGAACGTTGTGGTTTTCCGGGCTTCAAAACGAGAGATTGCCCGTATTGCCAGTCAAAAAACGGCCCGAAGACTGTCTCCACAAGACCTCACATAGGACCAGTAGTTCCAGAAGCTCTCGAACAGCTGGGTTACTCGCGAGTGAGTGGAGATACAACTGAGGAGATAGCAACTATACTGGTAACACTCAGCGATGACGCAAGACCATTCGTGAGAGTGGAAATGTGGGGAATTTCTATCGTAGGACTGTTAGACAGTGGTGCTGCTAGAACAGTGTTAGGAATAGGTGGTAGGAAACTAGTGAGTGATTTAAAATTAAAATTGAGACCCACTAGGGTTAACTTAAAAACAGCAGGAGGACAGGACTTAGATGTCATAGGGACCACCGACATTCCAATAACATTTAATGGAGAAACCAAAATCTTACCGGTCTTGGTTGATCCCAACTTGAATCGTCGTTGCATCTTGGGATATAACTTCTGGCAGGCCTTTGGAATTCGTCCAACAGTTTCTCAATCCGTCGACGCGATCGATGATGCTGAAATTGAATCAGTAGAAAGTGTTAGTGAGCTGAGCGACGACCAAAAACGGCAACTGAAGGAGGTAAAAAGTTTATTTTTAGCGAGTCCAGGCCACTTGGGGAAAACCAGTCTCATCGAACACAAAATCGAGCTAAAGGACGAATTAATAAATTCTGATCCAGTTCGTAAAAATCCGTACCCTTGGAGTCCAGAGATCCAGAAGAAGATCCATCGAGCGCTGGATAACATGATCAGGGACGGAGTAGTCGAGCCATCCGAATCGGAGTGGGCTTTGCCAGTTGTTCCCGTCAAGAAGCGAGACAGTGAGGATGTGAGACTTTGTCTCGACGCAAGAAAGCTCAATGAGCGAACAAAGAGAGATGCATATCCACTCCCCCATCAGAATAGAATTCTTAGCCAATTGGGTCCATTCAAATTCCTAACTACGATAGACCTATCACAAGCGTTTCTTCAGGTGCCCTTGAACCGTGAATCCCGTAGATTTACTGCTTTTTCAGTACCAGGTAAGGGACTTTTCCAGTTTACCAGGTTGCCCTTCGGACTGGTGAATAGTCCGGCAACGCTGAGTAAGCTGATGGACAAAGTTTTGGGGCATGGAGAACTAGAACCAGCCATTTTCGTGTATCTGGATGACATTGTGGTAGCGAGTCACACGTTTAAGGAGCACGTACAGAAGTTAAGGGAGTTAGCTAGAAGATTAAAAGAGGCGAATTTATTTATAAATCTGGAGAAATCCAAATTCTGCTGCTACGAACTGCCTTACCTCGGTTACATCCTCTCGGAAGAAGGATTACGGCCTAACCCGGATCGAGTCCAAGCGATTCTTGGATACGAGGCCCCGAAGTCAGTAAGGTCACTGAGAAGATTCCTCGGTATGGTAAATTATTACCGCAGGTTTATCGACAAATTCAGCGAACTCACCGCACCACTCACCGATTTGTTGAAAAACAAACCCAAGAAAGTGCGGTGGAATGAGGCAGCAGAAAATGCATTTAAAGCTATCAAGGAGAGGCTAATTACTGCCCCTGTTATGGCTAATCCCGATTTCAGTCTTTCGTTTTGCGTGCAGACAGACGCTAGTGATACCGCTCTAGCAGGTGTTCTCACTCAGGTACACAGTGGGGTGGAAAGAGTGATAGCATACCACTCAGAGAAGCTAAAAGGAGCCGAACTTAATTATCATGCAGCAGAGAAGGAGGGGTTGGCTGCCCTTCGCTGCATTGAGAAGTTTCGATGCTATATAGAGGGTACTCGGTTCACTCTCGTAACGGATTCATCGGCACTCTCTTTTATAATGAGAGCCAAATGGAGATCCTCATCGCGTTTGAGCCGATGGAGCATTACTTTGCAACAATACGATGTGGAGATCAAACATCGTAAAGGGAAGGAGAACATTGTCCCAGATGCGTTATCTCGGTCCATTGAAGCATTGGAGGTGATAGAAGCGGACACATGGTACCACAATCTGTATGAATCAGTTGAAAACGAACCCGAAAAATACATCGACTTCCGGATCGAGGATGGTCGATTGTTCAAGTTTGTAGCTGCCAAATCGGATGTATTAGACTACAGATTTGAATGGAAGGAGTGTGTACCTGAGTCCGAACGTTCACGAATCATGCACCAGGAACACGATGGCATGATGCACATCGGATTCGAGAAGTGCATCGAGAGTGTCAAACGAAAGTACTATTGGCCTAGGATGAGTGCTGACGTTAAGAAGTACGTAGGAAAATGCGAGGCTTGCAAGGAGAACAAGCATTCAACGACATCAACTGCTCCGGAAATGGGAAATCAACGAATCGCGACCAGGCCTTTCCAGATTGTGTGCATGGACTACATACAGTCTTTGCCTAGAAGCAAGCAGGGCAATGCCCACTTATTAGTCGTCTTAGGCGTTTTCTCTAAGTACTGCCTGCTTGTTCCGGTAAAGAAAATCTCTTCAGGGAGTCTGTGCACAATCTTGGAGGAAAGATGGTTCCGAAGACTGTCCGTTCCGCAGTACGTTATAACGGATAATGCGACTACCTTTTTATCAAAGGAATTTCAAGAGCTGCTGAGGAAATATGAAATCCAGCACTGGGCCAATTCACGACACCGAAGTCAAGCAAACCCAGCAGAACGGCTTAACAGGACGATAAACTCGATGATCCGCACGTACGTCCGTCACGATCAGAAGCTCTGGGATACTAAAATTTCAGAAATTGAGTTCGTATTGAACAACACCATACATGGATCGACGAAGTACACCCCGTACCGAGTGATCTTCGGGCATGAGATGGTACATAACTCTAGGATCAGATCACCGGAGGGAAGATGAGAGTGAGCTCTCGGAAGAAGAACGTGGGGTAAGGATGCAGGGAGTTAATAAAAAGAACTTCGAGCTCGTGAGGGAGAACTTGAAGAGAGCCTACGAGAGCACGAAACGGCAATATGACTTACATCACAAACGCTACTCACCTACATTCACTGTCGGACAACGAGTCTTCAAACGGAGCTTTACTTTGTCATCTGCTGGAAAGGACTTTAACGCGAAGTTAGGTCCGCAGTATAAAGCGTGCGTCATCGTTGCAAAAAAAGGCAACAGCTCGTATGAGATCTCAGATCTCAATGGAAGATCTTTAGGTATCTTCTCGGCAGCGGATCTGAAGGCCTAAAATAGAAGAATCTAAAAATAAAGCGTGGTACCACCAATTAATAACTGTTTGATTCTTGAGTTACAGAAGGTCAATGGTGAGGAGGGCTACTGAACCGAAAACGGTTTCATCTGGTCCAGTATTCCTAATCCTATTGCGTAATTCTATATCGAGGAGAGAATCACTAGTTAAGTAAAGAATGTGTCAAAGAAAGACATTGCCGAATGCATTCAACTAGGAAATCATTAATTTTAGTATTTTTGTAATGAATAATTTGTTAAATACTTTAATTTTCGTTTTGTTGTCAAATAGCTGTGTGTAGTTTCAAATAACCCCATTTATGCACTTTACGCAATCAACTGAATTGTTTACAATATCGTAAACAAAGTTTTGAAACTGGGTTGCAATCAGTTGGTAATAGCAGTGCATAATGTGAGAGAGAGTGAGCGTACAATAGGAGAATGGATAACCGTAGTAAGATGACATTGAATCAACCACATTTTTTTTTGTCCATACTTACCTGATTGTATGTCCAGCATGCAATCCCCATACATGATGAACTTCTAGCTAAAATCGTTGGAGAAGGAAATTTCCGAGAAGAAAAACTAGCAAAAATGATCAATAGGCCAAAATAAGTTTCGACTAGTCATCAAATTGATAACAGTTCTTCTGAAAAAAGTACCTTTTTACCTAGATTTTAGCCACAACTTCATCAACAGCACACCACTTTTAACAATACGTTCTGAAATAATAGGCATTTGACAGTTTGGTAGTTCACAGTCTTCCGTACGCACACACTGATAAAACTGATAACGTTATCACAAAAAGCCACAGTTGATTCACTGATAACGGCTTACTCCGACATAGCAAAACGTTTCTAAAGGTGATGAAATTTTTCACACCGTACTCTAGAGTAATTTTGTAAAAACTGTAAATATTATTCCGGAATTCTTTATTAATATGTTAAATTTTGAAAATCTGCATGTTCTGTTTTAGTAGATTTAAAATACTATTTTTAATTGTTAAATGTAGTATAGCTTATATATATATATATTTTATTTCGTTTTTCTTGAGTGTTGGTCCAACAATTTATACAGTTTAAAAGGGATCGCTGGAGACCGGAATCGAAAGATATTGATGGTCAGTAGGAGGTTTTGACCTTGAAACTGAGTTGAGTTGGTTTACCAACGATGATAACTTATGACCCCGACCCAAATATACACTGTTAATAAAACGCTACTCTTTCCTTAGCTAACATCTGTGATTCGATACTTTTGGATAAGTTTGAGGTTTTGATTCATTAGTTTGTGTTAAAAACAAAGTGTGCGAGTAAGTTTCGTTTTGTTTGTGAAAATTCTGGTTCAGAGGTACGCGTCACAATTTTGGAATTCTTGTGTATGAAAAAGAAAAAAAAAATTCGGCTTCACCGACATTTTTTTTTACCCGAGCGGGTGGAGAGTGTAACCAGTGGTGTGTCTGTTTGTCTGAGATTAGTGAGATTGTCACGATTAGTGTTTCGTATTTTATGTATAACAATATGCCAAGGAAAGGTTTGAATACAAGCTACCAACACCACCCATCGCCCACAAAATCACCCACTGGACAGTACACAGCCACACCGCCTAAACGACAGGAAGATCCGCTACCTACCACCAGATGGCACTGTTTACTGGATTTGGAGGCCATTAGGAGGTGGCATAATGGGGCCATGATGAGGCGAAATAGGGCGGAAGGACGATGGCTCAGCGAGGAGGAGAGAGGATAGGTCAGCCGCCATCGTCAAGAATTATTTGATTGGCGATACTCAACAGCGATACTTCGTAAAGCTAGTTCAAGCAAGTCCGAAACCAGTAAAAAACCGTGAGGACGTGAAAAAAAGTGAAGAAGGAGAGTGAGGTGCAGAACCATCCAGGACCCCGTAGTTTACCGCTGGCAATTCATCCACGGCGTGGTCAGACCCCGTAGTGTCCGTTATTCGGCATACGGTTAGACACGGAGCATCTTCCGATACGAAGGTATCCGGGAATACTAACCAACGGCCCATCGCCACGCCACGAGTATAGTGAGGAGAGAGAGAGAGATCGAAGAGCCGTCGCGGAAAGTACCGAAGTACGCGACCGGCTTGCGAACCAAGTCGAGGAAAGGAACCGACTGGCCTGTGAAAAGTACCCAGAAGGAAGCTGAGGAAGGTGAAGGAGTGGCTGTGGAAGGACCAACAGCGGGCCCGCGCTGAAGAATTAGAAGAAACGTCAGGCGTAACGAGGTAGGAGATAGCGAATAAGAAAGTGGGACGAAAGTGGGAACAATAAAGGTGCCTATAGCTAAACAAGTGTTGTGTGTGTTAGATATTCGAGTGTTTCCTTGGCCGTGATATTCGAGCGCGCATGCCGACCCTGAGGTAGTGTAGAGGGGGGTCTCATTAGTGCTGGGCAGGGAGTACCCCACCTGTTACAAATGTGTTATGAAAAAGTATGAACGGAAGCAAAAAATAAAAAGTCGTCTGTATAGTGAAAACTAGAAAAAAGAAAGAAGGTTCCAGATATGGAAATCCGCTTGGAAATGGATGGTCCAGAAATCGAGTTGATGGCCCGCATAAACGCAAACCATCACTTGACCTTACCGATAATGGTTATAAATTGTTTATAATCCCTCCTAAACTTTAACCTTGACTTTAACTGAAATGGTTTTGGAACCTTACATGAACGTTTGTGTGATAAAGTATTAACCTTATGTATTATGGTTTTTAGGAAGCGGACCTTACAAATAATGGGTCGTTTTTTTTTTCCTCTGTTCGGGACATAATACCATTCATGGGCCTTACTGACTACCATAACCATAACCATTAATGTTCTCAAACCATAAGTAAAACCGTTCTAATATAGTTCTCTTTCCGAAAATGTATGGAGAAAACAAGAATTTGAAATGGTAATGGTTCTTAACAACTCATTATTTGTAAGGTCCGCTTCCTAAAAACCATAATACATAAGGTTAAAACTTTATCACACAAACGTTCATGTAAGGTTCCAAAACCATTTCAGTTAAAGTTAAGGAGGGATTATAAACAATTTATAACCATTATCGGTAAGGTCAATTTATGGTTCGCGTTTATGCGGGGGGTCGATAGGCATACCCGAAAAAAAAAATTACAGTGTAATTTTCAGTGGAAACAATGCTCTAACATTAATATTTATTGTCGACAATAAAAATGATTGTTATAATGTTGAACCCTTCCGAAAACGGCAAAAGTGGTACCTAGATGTACATACAATGAGGGTACATAATAAATGTTGTTACAATGATTTTTATCGTATTTTTCCTAGTATTTTTCATTTATTTTATTGTTAACGTGATTCGATCATGAACAATAATGAACAACTCTATTACAATAAAAATTGTTGTTACATTAAATATTGATGTGTTTTCATTGTGGGTTACGTCACAAACAATAAAAATAAATCTAATTGAAGCATGCAGACTATGAGAGAGTCAGCTACACTGCCAATGTAATCAATATAGGCACTGTCCGTAAAGGATCTGGCTTTGACAGTTCGTTTGGCTGACTGATATCGGACTTGCTTTATTCGTTGCCAAGTCAATTGAACCATAGAGGTAACTCTAAGACCACTGGGTCCCGAAGAAAATCATTATTATTTTTGGCTCACTCAGTACCAGAACAACGGTCCCAAGCAGTCCCAAGCTATTTCACTCACCCCTGCATGTTCTGCATGAATCCACACACCCCTGATGTTATCTCCAGAACAACATGTGAAAAGGGCATACAAGCTTTTTGTAAACAAACCTTTGTAGGCCCTTTTCTCACCAACCGAGGGTCGCCCACGCAAACCAGCAATATCACCGGGAAGGGGAAAGTGTCCCCTATCCGGTGATGTTAAAGGTTTGCGTTGGTGTCATATGGGTGGCGAGAAAAGGGCATAAGAAGGTTTGTTTACAAAAAGCTTGTATGCCCTTTTCACATGTTGTTCTGGATCTGTCAAACTTTCATAGCGAATCAAAACAAACATAGTGTATTAATAGAATTTCAACTAGAATAGGGTACGATAATCGTTTGCTTGGGACCAATAGGCTACTAAAGTGGTGAGCCAATTTAAAATCGTTAGTTTCGTATTGATTGTTGATTGAACGCCTACGACCAGATCGATTTGAGTTGAATTCAACTCACCTGCCTCATCTAAATCCCGCTTAATGCAGACCTTTTCCGTGCAGTCAATAATCATACAATAATAATAAAAAAAATCCACCACTTGAAGATATCAGGAAGGAATTCTCAGGTGGAAGCATATTTCATGGGCGATTCTCTCCAGTCGAATGTATTAACTTATCAACGACGCTCAACCACCAAGGAGGCGTGACCTAGGGAGATCGAGTGCAGGGGAGTTGGCCTGCATTTCTCACAAGTTCCGGATCGAATCTCAATCCAAAACCAGTAAAAAAAGGACTCACCCGTAACAGATTTACCAACCGGTGAACACTCGTGTTCATTTCAGTTACCGTGGGGACGTAATTTGTGATTAGCCCGGTCCCTTTCAAATTGTATCATTATTTATGTACGGTCCTTATATTTGAAATGACGTTTCACATTCATCTAGTGATGGCCGATTTTCATTCGAATAATTCAAGAGCAAATTTTCATTATGTCGTAAGTAACATTCGCACCAATCCGAGAAAAATAAAGTTTTGTTTTGATGACCGAAAAGTTATTCCTATTTCCAAGTAAACACATATAATCTCATAGTGATAGCAATGTTTAACATATTTAGCAGGGTTTTAATCATACAAATGCAAATCGCTAGCTTTCATGCTAAAAAATACTGGTTTTTAAGTCAAAAGTTTATATACGTCGTTTGGTGGCCCCTATTGTTACTTAAGTCAAAGTGTATTTACCAGGATATTCGGGAGAATTATCAATTACGTCTCTTTACGTGCAGCCCATTCATCATTTTAGGACCACCGAAATCATCTCAGCAACAAACAGTTTGGATATTCACTTTAATAATGA